ACAGTGAAATTCTCATTTATTATATAAAAGAAGATGAGCTATTGAAAGTTAGAACGTTGTGTACCTTTAACTGAAAAGGTTTGACACACTGACATTCGCATTTATTAGAAGAAGATGAGCTATTAAAGTTGTATCAAAGAGTTGTGTCCATTTAATTGAAAAAGTGTGAGACAGTGACACACGGACATTCGTATTTATCATATCAAAGGAAGATAAATAACGACTTAAGATATCTTGACTTAAAGCAGTAAGGATTGTATTATTCAGGGAATTATCCACGTGGAAGTCTGTTTCACAAAGTAGCAGATCTTGTTACCCAGTTTTACTCTTACTCCTAACATTTTACGATGAACCAATCTTTTTGTATTCGAGTTCTTTGATTTTTCACTCTTTATTGAAAGACCGATGGCAATATTGCGCAGTTCCAAACTGCAAGATTTTAGGTGCCATGTCAATCAACAAACGCAAGAGACCAAAAATAAAAATATTTGGTTTCCGAGCATGAAAAATTGTATCATGTAAAGAATATTGAAAGTCTTCTATTAGAGCTGATGTCAGGGCACAAATATAGGTTTCTGTTTTTGATATTGATTAATGAAAATGGCCATGAAGTTTGGGAAAAAAGAGAAGTCATCTGAAGTTTTACTAATTTCTTACATTTAATGTTTTGCTATTAAAATACAGTTCGACAGGTGAAGATGCTGAAGCACAATCTGGAAGAGTATTTCTTCATATAATACGAACGGAAGTGAGCGTTAAGAAAACTTGTAAACCTCAAAGGAAGTTCGAAAGAGAGAAATAATTTTAAAACATGGCTTAACGGAAGCGAAGAAATTAAAGAAGAATGCAGAAAATAGAAATAAAAAAATGGAGAAAAGAAAACAGTTTAAGAAAAAAAAAAACGGAAAGGCTTTCCTGAAATAATTTTTTGAGCAATACACTATAAAAAGAAACGTTTTACAATTAGATAAAAATAACAATAGAAATGCTTAGAAGAAAAAAAAAGTAGTATTAATATCAGGAGGAAGGCATTCGAATAAAGAAAAAAATCTGACGACTTTCTGGTGTCGAAGAATGACAAAAAAAGAAAGAAAAAAAACGATGGTGGTGAAAAAATATCGGATAGTAGGAATAAATGGAAAAGTACCCAAAGAAATTATGTGAAAAAGGATGAATAGGAATTGGCATTAAATATTGGAATGATTCTGATGGAAGAGAAGAGAAAGCAGGAAGGGAATTATTACAACATATGACGAGGGAGAAAGAATACAAAAGCAGTAGGACATAAAGAAGAGTGGAAAATGTTGATAGAATGACGGAAAGAACAAAGAATAGAAGGAAGGAAGGAAGGAAGGAAGGAAGGAAACGAAGGAGAAGAAGGAAGGAAGAAAGGAAGGAAGGAAGAAAGGAAATGAAGGAAGGAAGGAAAGGAAGGAAGAAATGAATGAAGAATAGGAAGGAAGACACGAAGGAAGGAAGGAATGGAGGGAAGAAATGAAAGAAAGAAGGAAGGAAGGAAGGAAGGAAGGGAAGGAAGGAAGGAAGGGAAGGAAGGAAGGAAGGAAGGAAGGAAGGAATGAAGGAAGGAAGGGAGGAAGGAAGGAAGAAAGGAAGTGAAGGAAGGGAGGAAGGAAGGAAGAAAGGAAGTGAAGGAAGGAAGGGAGGAAGGAAGGAAGAAAGGAAAGAAAGGAAGGAAGGAAGGAAGGAAAGGAAGAAATGAAGGAAGGAAGAAAGGAAGGAAGGAAAAGAAGGAAGGAAGGATGGAAGGAAGAAAGAAGGAAGGAAAGTAAGGAAGAAACCAAGGAAAGAAGGAAGGAAGGAAACGAAGGAGAGGAAGGAAGGAAGGAAGGAAACGAAGGAGAGGAAGGAAGGAAGGAAGGAAGAAAGGAAATGAAGGAAGGAAGGAAGGAAAGGAAGGAAGAAATGAATGAAGAATAGGAAGGAAGACACGAAGGAAGGAAGGAATGGAAGGAAGAAATGAAAGAAAGAAGGACGGAAAGGAAGGAAGGAGGAAAGGAAGGAAGGAAGGAAGGAAAGGGAGGAGGAAGGAAGGAAGGAAGAAGGAAGAAATGAAAGGAAGGAATGAAGGATAGGAATGAAAGGAAGGAAGGAAGGAAGGAAGGAAGGAAGGAAGGAAGGAAGGAAGGAAGGAAGGATTGATGAAAAGCGAAATCGGGGAAAATGAAAAGGAAACAAGAAAATGATTGAAATAAGAGCACAATGAAGTATTCATGTCAGGAGGAGGGAGTAAACATAGAAGTGAACTTGAATAAGAAGAAAAATTAGGAATTAATAGTTTCAGGATAAGGAAGGAAAATATGTAAAAAAAAAAGAATGAAGAATGATTAAATAAATAAGAGATGAAATGAAGATTAAAGGAAAGGAAAAAGAATAGAAAGAAGTATTAAATGAAGGAATAAAGATGAGTAAATAATGAAGGAAAATAAGCAAAGAAATTAACACAAATAGAAAGTAAAAAAATAAAATAAATGGAGAGAAATTAAAGAAATGCGGAATCGAGCAGTCGACAGGATAAAAGAATAATTAGAGGGAATGAAAGAATGAAGAAAAGGATTGAAAGAAGAAAAAACCCAAAACTGGAAAGGAAGGAATGAATAAGGAAGAAAAATGAACTATAGAAAAATATTAAAATTAAAGAAGTAATAAAAGGAAGAATGGAATAAAGGAAGGAAAATCGCCAAAATATAGAAAGAAGTAAAACTTGAAATGTTCAATGAGGAAATTACAATAGAAAAAGGAAAGAATAAAGGAACTTACTTTTTTCTATCATTCTTTTCCTATTTCTTTTTATTTATTCTTTCATTTTTATTTTCTCTTTCTTTCTTTACATCTTTTTCCTTCTTTAATCCTTACTTAATTCCCCACGACATTCTCTTCTTCTTTGATTTTTTATTTCTTTCTTGATTGACGACGAAAGGAAAGATTGAAGAAAGGAAGGCATTTCATCAAATAAAAGAGAGACTAAAGGAAAAATGGCAGGAATTGTGAAATAATCGGTGAATGGAAAAAACTGCAAAAGAAGTAAAGAAAGAGAAAGAATAAAAAAAAAAAGAAAAAAAAAGAAAAAAAAATTAATGAAATAAAAATGTTGGGTGAGGAAGGAAATCCTTCATCTAATTAATGAATTTCTATCATGTTTGAAATTATCAGCTAAATAATACAGAATAAGAAAACGAAAGAAATAATTACCTGGAGAAAGAATGAAGATACAAATACATAAGCAAAAACTGGCCGAACGAAAAACTGTGACTGAAAAAGGTGAATAAAATATGGTCAACTGAAGTAAGAAGTTGGTGGAAAGTTTCGAACAGCATTCCGCTTTTCTTAAATGCATTCTCTTATCACCAATAAGATCTTCTTGAAGCAAATTTTGTGATTCTGGCGTCGGAATAATAAACGGTTGTCTACGATTTATGATAAAAATTCAGTGTGTCTCGAGCTGAATTCTGCACCTGCCGAAGGAAGAAATTAGATTAGGTCGAAGAACGATGGAATATTGCAGTAGACATTTTTTCTTAACAGACTTTAAGAGAATTTGTAGAATTCTTGGTGATCAAGTCAAAGCTGAAAATGATTGAAGTAAAAAAAAAAAAAAAAAATAACGTCGCAAGGTAACGATTATACATCTGAACAGGAAAACATCCGGTAGTTCTTATCAGTGTGTAATATTGCCATTGATGTCTATTGAAAGAAACATTACAGATTTTACTTTCTCAAATAAACTCGACTAAATTTGAGTTTCATTCGTTAAAAAAATTGGCAATAGATCGAAGGATAACTTGTAAATTTTAAGTCATCATGCCTTGAACAGGAAAAGAAATGTTGCGCATTGGTGAAGTTGGTAAGGAAATACGAACCGATAGATGAATAATGGCGGTATTAAGAAAATTGTTTGAATTCAAACAGATTTAAAACTGGTTATACCGACAAAAGAATATATGGATGTGATGTTTTCTTTGGATACAGAATTTCGATTTGGTCAAAGAAAACAGATGGAGAACGGGAAACTTAAGAGGTGTGTGAAGTACAGAAATACATCCATCCTTGTATACAAACCATTATTGATGGCGTAAAGAGAGAGTGAAGGAGGATTGAGACAGAAGGTCCTGTAATATTTGATGTAAAATTCTCCGACTTTCTTAGATGAAGAACTGTCATTATTTGTATTTTTACTCTCCTTATCCATTGCTTTGTTATCTCATATCATTATTCTACGACACTTATATAAACATAGATGAATACATATAAACAGACAAGTCTATAGATAATTAGATAGATATTTAAACATTGAGATCTATAGATAGATCGATATTCAATATCTTATAGGAAAACATATTAGATGAACGTTCAATGGATATTATTCACTATTGTCTGAGAACTAAATACCAATCGCTGCTGCTTACTCGGTCTTTCCTTTCTGTGTATGAACAGAATAAATATTTGCTACAACTAACTATTAACCGCCTACAGATTGTGCTTATATCTTATGTTGAAAGAGACTGATATCAATTGAAAGACGACTTAAAAGAAAAATTCTCGCATCGTAAAACATGAGCGGAGCGCAATAAATAAATCCTCACGTTGTATAGAACTTTCCGTTTTTATTTTATGGATTCGATGACGAAAAATTCTACAAACTGAAAGCTGAATGTGAAAGCTTCAAGAAAAACAAAATGAGTTTCTACGAGATCAATAACACATTTTGGCGTTGTTTGCGTTGAAAGGGACATTGGAATCTTTTTTGACGACAACGACGAAGACGCTTTCAAATGACTTAATTAACGTTAGAAGAATTAATCAAACATTTGGGGGGTTTACTTTCTTTAAATGTTTATCAATTGTGCGCATATATATATATATATATATATATATAGAGAGAGAGAGAGAGAGATAGATAGATAGATAGATAGATAGATAGATAGATAGATAGATAGATAGATAGATAGATACTTTAACAAACTTCGTGGGTGGATTCCTGACACCAAAAAAAGATAAAATATCTATATAATTAAATGTCCAAAAAGCGCGCGCGAGAGAGAGAGAGAGAGAGACAGAGACAGAGAGAGACAGACAGAGAGAGAGAGAGAGAGAGAGAGAGAGACAGAGAGAGAGAGATATATTCAGACAGACAGACAGACAGACAGAGACAGAGACAGACACACAGACAGAGGCACAATAGTGCTTTGAAATGTTATTGGACACTTTTAACTTTCTTATATCAATGATCAAACTTCAGATTACTATTGTTTTTTTTTAAATTGGCCCCCAAAAGTAGTTGTTTTCTACTTGAAATAAGAGAAAATTATTAGACATGGTTAAAAAAAGGGGGACGATTTACTATTAGAAATTTCATTATGACAAAGAAAAAAAGCATTTTATGATAAATTTTGCCCTCGCTAAAATATCCGCCTTTAGCCTTGATTACTACAGAACAAATGCTTGGCATTGGTTGGAAACATTTCTAAAAGTATACGTTTGATGACTGATTCCGTTCTTTTTCAATCACTCTAAATAGAACTTTTTCAGTTTTTTCACTCTTTTCTCAAGTTCATCCTTTACTAAAGGTGGCTTCAAACTTTTGAAATATAGTGTATATATAAAATGTCCATATACTTGGTTTTTATTACATGGTTAAAGTCGTTGTACGTTCAGCCCTTCTTCAGAGTAACTTGCAGCTCATTTCGAACAGAACTCTTTATTTAACCTTCAGGTATAGATAGTTCAGCAGTAGTAACGAAAGAAAATGTGAGTGCAGTTAAGCGTGACATCAGCAGCAGTGAGGCAGTAGCAAACAAGCATTAATAAGGACATTAAGACTGCAAGTTGTAGGATCAGGTTTTATCTCAAATCGGACTAGATCCCTTCCACGGCGCAGACGTGTGTATACGTTTTTACCGATTGCGTCTTTTTCAAACACAGACAAATAAACACGCCCAATAATTAAAAAAAACAGCAACAAACGTGTTTATACGCCGATCTTGCTTCATTTTATGCCCTTCGGAGTTTGAAACAAGTTTAATTGTCAACTCATACATCTGGTAGAGGTCTTAGTCATTATTCGGGTACTTCAAGATGTTCCAGCTTCTTATTTATTATACATAAAAAACATGAAACATTTTTCCCAAAATAATTGGCAGATAAGGGATTAAAGCGTTAGTTCGGGAATTTAGTTGGTATCGTGAGTTCAATCCCTGATCCGCGTATTAATGACGTAGACTTAATGAAAACAGAGCGTGCAAAAAAATGAGTAGTAGTAAAAAGAAGACGTGAACATCGAGAGCGAAGTGAAAGCAAGCGAAGTTTTTCGGCTATATTTTATGATTGAGAAAAGGCAAAATTAAGACATTCCACGATGCACACGATAGGCAATGAATGACTACTGATGTTTCCCAATTTCTAGAATGATTATCCTGTTATGCTATGGCAAATCCCATTCGATTATATTTCTTCAATCAGTCTATAGTGCAGTTAAACCTGAATTTGACGCGAGCTCTGTAATGTTTGCGAATGCTTTTGCTATATCAACAGTAATTTAACATATTCACTAATTAATTGCTATAGCATTGTTGTCTGTCTTTGCTGGCCCGCTTTAGGGAAAATAATTTTTGTTTCCATCGAATACTTTGCAGGACAGACTAAAGGTCATCCCCAACAAACAATGTAATAAAAACGCCCCACAAAACAGGATGCATTGTACGTTTCACGGTGTTTGGAAAAAGTATATATACGTCGACAGCAGGGAATATAAGTTTCTGAAAGATGTATAAGTATGTCCACAGCAGCGGATGTCGTAAATCTCGCTCAAATTTCCGAAAGAAAGTAAATCTTTATTCTACTGCAATTTAATCCTGTAAACGCAAGGAAATGAATAACAATATACAGAGATTTGTGCAAATAATTATGTAAAAACAAAACTTATTCCTAAAACTACAGAAATGAGAGCAAATTTTTGCGAGAGAAGATCTGATATTGTCTTGATTGAGAGCATAACGAAGTCATGCCTAAAATAAAACTGTATGAACAGATCCCAAAGCAAACTTGATAAACTGTGAAAAAGCAAACAGGTAGCTATAAGAATTGTAAAGTTTTTGAACAATGGTAGTGTCAGTAATTAAATGAGGATTAAAATAGAAAGATATTAAAAATAGAAAGACATCTTATAATAAAAGAAGAAAAAAAGGGGGCTGTTCTTATTGTACAAGAATCCAATGAAACTGATGACTATTGTTGCGGGATCTATAGCAATTATTACCAATTGTCAAAGGAATATATTTGGTGGGATATATTTTTATGTTAAAGTTCGCACAGTGCAAGTGTAGACATCCACTCAAGATAGATGATTACTATTAAATGTTTATGGTGAATATAGTGTGTTATATGAGTGAAAGATTATGAGTGAAAGATTATGAGGATAGATAATGATTAAAGCGATAAAGATTATAATGTTCAGGAAAGCATTCATGCAGAAATCTGTTTCACAAAATAGTAGCAGTTCGAGGCAAAATGTTGTCTATATGAAAAATTTTGTTTACATTTAGAATACGGAAGAAATGTGGCTAGAACTTTTTGTTTTTTCATCGGTATTACCCCATACAAGTCGGTAAAGATACTAAGACACAAGGTATTACAGGATGTGGAAGAATTAGGAACAGAAACATTATTAATCAGCGGGAAAAGGGAAGAGTAATCAGGACAGTAGATAGCAATTAACATTGCATTTAAATTTTTGCAGATGAAAGTTGGCTGGAAAGCATGGAGTAGGAAAGGATTTCTACAAGTGAGAAGTTCGAATAAAGAAATTGTTAGCAAATAATGTACGGTTACATTTATTCATCTCAACTGTAAATTGAGAAGATCACGACGCCAGTCTAATACTGCGCTTAAATTTAAAAAAAAAATCTTGGTACCATAGCGAAGAGTTCACCCGAACAATTACCATAAAAAGTGTTTAGAGAAAAGATAGAGAGGCAAACTTACGGTGGTGAGAAAGTGACTGATGCAAAGCTGCCAGATTAGGCTCATTAATATTGCTGATTCTTCTTTGGATTCAAGAAGCTCAAGGTAAATAGCAGGGGCATCAGACGGTAGTTATATTCTAAGAATGGACAAATAGTAGACTTCTGGACATAGATATGAAGTTATAACTAATAAATGGAGCTCATCTGAACAGTTACCATCGGGGATATAGACAATAGTGTATTATATCTAAGGTGATAAAAACTAATCCAAAACCAGAAATAACAATGAGAAGTAAATCAACTGCATTTACCTTTCAAGAGACAAACTAAAGAAGTTGGAGATAACATAGTATGGTAGGGAAGAGGACATCTAAAAAGAAAAACTGAATTCTTCTTAATGAGCGTCCAGAACTAGTTTTATTAAGGCCAAAGTAGACAGGATTCAGAAAAGATAAAGATAAGACTGAGAATTATATAAGTGAGTATTATTGACACATATTAGAAGCACAGCAACAAATAAGATTGAATGGGAAATATGGGCAACTGGTAATTTTGAAAGCATTTGTAGTATATTTATACAAACAAATGTTATATGAACACACTAGAATATATTTCAGTGAACAAAAACACAATTCATGAAACTTTGAAATTCAAACTCATTGTCTAACGCAGACTCTATGGCCATATCTCGTTATTGTCAGTTAAGAAAATAGTTCGTTAATGTTCGAACAGACCACATAGATAAAAAAAAAACCCAAAAAACTCATGGGAATACTGCAAATAATGTCGAATACGAAGGTAACAGTTGCATTCATTATTACTGGCGCGTTGGGAAAAATCCTGAAGAGCCTTGCAAAAAAACAAAAACAAAAAAAAACAAAAAGGGAATAATTTGAATTCCGTACAAAAGTGAGGCCACACAGATGACAGAACCAATAAAATCAGCTAGAAAATTGACGAACTCGATTATTGAGCAGACTTGTTGTCACTTTGTCTCCAAGAAAAATCAGCAGTTGATATGATATAGAACGTCATCATCAAAACATGGGACAACTAATGATACCGCGATATATATAATACAATTTCTGTCTAGAAAACAAGACACGTCTCTCTTCCTCTATTACAGCTACTAAACTGCTATAGTTTGTGTCCTTTCCTCTTTTATCATTAATAATGAAAATACAGATGACAATGTCATCTCAGATAATGATTTATCAAAACATACGGCTTTGTAATGTCTCTTAATCAATTTGTTGGTCATTAAAACCAGGTGAAAAGAATACATTCATAATATCAAAAATTATTTTTAAAAATCGCAAAAAGTGAAAATAATTTTGTAAATGACAACATTCATGACGCTGCACTGGTTGTGTGTGTGTGTAAAGGGGTGAAAGTGTTAACATTAGCGAAAATATGCGATTTCTCTAAATTCATTTGAAAAGTATAATAAAAGTTAAAAATGACCATGAAAACAAATAAACAAATCATAAAAAAATACTCTCTTTACCAGATGCACTTAAAAGACTACAAGCTATGCTTCCATGTTGAACTGAATGCGAATTTGTGCTTCTTTGATATCTTTTTATTTTACAAAGTTTAGATTAATGTAGGAAGATTAAATTGATTAAAATATTGTGATTTAAAAAAACTAAAACAAAAAACTCGTAAAACATTTATCCTGAAATTATGCTATAGGAAAAAAAAAGAATTGACAGAATTCTGTTATTAGTACATTTAAAGGCTGTTCACTTAGATTTCTTTTCATTCAGCAGTAAATAAACTAATAATAGATAAGACACAAAACATTTTTATTTAATAGTTGGATACTCTGTCTTCGTGAAATAGATCTTCATTCAGATGAATTATATAATTTCTCTCCAACATTGGGTTATTCCGTAATATTTTACTTTGCATAGCTTGGTGAAAATTATACCATTAATTTAAATAATTTAATCTAGTTTGTTTAAGTACACTATTTACATAATTCGGACTATTGTCCTCATCTTTGTCGCTATATTTATGTGATGAATATGGCGACAAAGATGAGGAAAATAGTCCAAATAAACTGCGTCTAGAGATTATATGCAAATAAGGTATTGTCAAATATCTTATGTAAAATTCATAGATATGTGTTATCCAATGAAATAATTTGTACTATTATGTACAGCGAGTAAGCATGAAAGCATTTAAGTCCCAATTTTCAATTTCAGATTGATATTTAGT